TACGTTACTCAATTATAACTTGATTCAAAAACTAATAATTATAAACTTATTTGAGTTTTAGACATCCCTCATAAAAATCTAATAACGCCAATCAATAAATAAATGACTACAATGCAGTAACAACACATTTTTATTTTAGTAAAGAAACAGTGAAATGAATGAGTAAAATAGTAAAAAAAAAGTGAAATAACTCAAAAAAACTAAAGAAAAACTAGAGAACTTATGCAACAAATGTCCAATTTGATGTTCATTATTTTGTAAACATGCTTGAATGAGCGTCACAAAAGACCTGGCTTCGAATCACCCTGTATAAATTTTGTACAAGATTTTTGCATACATAGAAAGACTCAATCTGTTGGTAACAGAATTGAAAGTGTTTTTGTTAATAACTCGAAACACTGCAACCGGATACGGTATTGTTCTACAAATACTTGACGTACAACCCCTCAAGACTGGTAAATTATTGTTAATCAAAAGCGTACTCCAATGGTAAGCTTTACAAAATTAGTGGATCACTTTGTACATACATATGGTGTATGAAGACAAAATATTTATTAATACCAAAATTAAACTTATTTTACCTAAACTTTATTAAGACTACTCCCGGGATTAGTGCATACAACCATGTTCGGCGAAGCTTAAGGGTTGTGGAGCAAATAACAGTCGCTGTTGTACTATTATAGAAACTCCATTTATTATAAAAATAATTTGATTATATACAATTTCCAACTTAAACTAAAACAGTAAATCTAAAACATTGGCTACCTTAATGATGAATTACCAATTTACTTTATAAAACTATATCGATGATTGTTTGTTTGTCGCAGGCATAATGACCCAATTAAGACATTCCGCTGATCGTTGCTGACCGCGCGGAAGTGTCTGCTCGGGTCGGTGCACTATTGCGACAAACTTGTCGAAATGTTAAATTTTATAAAAAAATGAAAATTGTTGGTTTGAACAACCATCCAAGACGCAGCGGGAGAAATTATAAGATAATCCTGCTACCTACCTTTCACGGCGGCAATACGGTCGTCACTTTTTTGAGACCCTTCTGGTCAAGGATTAATAATAATTTGACCATCGCCGCAATCCGGTCCTGCCCCAAAATCTGATTGGTGGAGCTTGTAGTGCCCGAAAAGGGCTATCTTATCGACATTTTTATCGATTTTCCAATTAACTCCATTTGGTCAAAAACGGCCTTCAAAAAATTGAAATTTGAATTTGCCGTATTAGAATGTAAATTCTTCACATTCGAAGTAAGCTTCATTTTCTTGAGAGGAAGTGAAAATTCAAAGTCGAACCCACGAATTAAAATGTATTTGTTAAAATTTGATTAAAATGAGAGACAATAGTCCGTTAAATTGACTCTTGAGACTGAAAGGTTGCCCAGGCCTGGTACGTCAAGATTTATAAAGTAAGAAGGTTGCCTCGTAACTTTGCACCAATCACGTGTGCGCATTATTTGCGCGAATTGACGTCACTGGAGGTTTCGTTCAAAAATAGGATATGTAACCAAACGTATTATTAAGTTAAAAAACTATAACTTCGTAAAATAAATACTGATAAAATATTTTATTCTTCGACACTGTCAAAATTTACGGTTTTTCTCCCGTGTAAGGAAGTTTTGACAACTATTTGGCATTTCTCAATACAAAACGTCAAATTATTTTTAACAGATTTAAAGCAAGTTTAAGCCTTGTTGACTCTAATTCGAAGAATAAAATGTTGTATTCCACTCGTTTGAGTGTAAATCGAACGCTTTATTCCACCTCGTGGATGGTAAACCACTCGTTACACTCGTGGTTTAAAAATCCACTCGGTCTAATAAAGAGTCCGATTTACACTCAAACTCGTCGAATAAATAACTATTTTATTAAGGGTAAAATATACTTTGATAAAAAAATATAAATTTATTTTGCTAAACTTACAATATTTTAATTTATAATTGTATTCATTTTTTCTTTGTTAGTTTATCAGAAATTTTCTCGATAACTATTTATCGCAGAACACTGATCTTTTTTGTGTGTGATAGAAAATTATTTTTTTTTTCCAATGGTACCAAACATAAGCGGTTATCACCAAGAAGTCCGGAGTTACTATAAATAGAGCGCTCCGGGTGCCAAAAATCGACCAAAATCTCGACAAAATTCCAAAAAATTTTAACTTTAAAATCGATCCATATAACGTTTTTTACATTTCTAGTGATCTTAAAGACCCAAAATAGTGCACAAAATGTTATTGGGTCAAGTTTAAAAGCTTACGAATTTTTTGAGCTTAAAAACGCTTAAAATGTGTTTTTTTAGACGCTGAACACGATGCAACAGGTTAAAATACTCTGCGATGCATAGCTTTTACGATATTGAGTAATAAAGCTAAAAATAAGGCTAGAAGTATACAAGATCTATATAGGAAGTTGTGGTAAATAGTGCAAGATGCAACACAATGATAATAACACAAATCTGAAATCTGACATAAGGTGATCAACTTCAGACAATTCAAAATCAAAATTGACGACAAAAAAGAAGACTTTAACTTGAAAAAACCTTTGTTTTCACTGCAAATGAAAATCTCAAAAAATTGCACACTTAGGTGTGTTGGTCCTTAAATCGAGACAAATCAGGACATAAATGTAAAACAAGACAAGACAATAAAAGCCTAAACATGTCCTGGCTAAATCAGGACCTTGGCAGTCTGAAATCTGCGGCTGATCGAGCAAAACTCCACTGACGTCACCATATAGCCATCTTACTCGCTCTTTAGTGTCTCTCACTCCAAGTTACCAGGCAACCTTCTTACTTTATAACTCTTGCTGGTACGTGGTACCGAAAGTACCACCATTTATACAGAAGTCGAGATCATTTTTTAATAAAGCGGTATAACTGCTATTGTATCGTAAGATTTTGCTACGGAATGAATAGAAGTTTGTGTGCCGCTCGACAGCCCATTGCAAAGTGCCATAGCATGAACTATGGAAAAAAAATGGCTGTATTTACATAACGGTGAGCAAAACGCAAATAAAAAAAATAAAGGCAGATAGAGCATTAAATTCTCAATAATAAGAAATAAAGGTAGTGCAAAAATTTTATTGAAAACTATTTAAAAAAATTTCAAACATTTAGCAATTTGCGCCCCGTCTCATATTTTTGAAAATGTTACGAATACGGCTAAAGATACAAGAAAAATATAAAAAAGAAAGTTGTAGAGAATGTAATTTCCAAGAAAAAGGTCTACGAGATGATACCTCTATCTTCAATGGTTTAGGTCCTAAAGACGTTCATAGACGCTCAAGCGACGAAATCGGGTCATTTTTACCGGTGGTCAAGAGACAGAAATTTAATTTAAACCTAAACGGTTGAAGATAGAAATATGGTCTCGTGGACCTTTTTGTAGGAAATTTAATTCTCTACAATTTTGTTTCCTACACTTTTTTTGTATCTTCAACCGTATTCGCAGCGTTTTCAAATAAATCGAAAACAGTATGAAAAATAAATTATAAACAATTATCAGTTTGCGTTCCGCTCAATATGAAACGGAGCACAGATTTTGAATTTTAAATATTTTTTTCTCATATTCCTCGTGAAAAATTTAGTGGTTCGTTTTTTACAGCTTATTAAGAATATAAAGCTCAACATTTATGCATTTTTTCAAGCAATTAGTAAACTGGTTGAATTTAAATTAATTAAAAACGATTTGAAACTGAGACGGTAAAACGCTCTAAGCACCCTCATTTTTACTCTGCCGTACTACTTTTTTAGGGTCCAAAAAATCAAGCAATTTTGTATCTCGTTTCGTCTCCTAGTATGTAGTGCTCCGTAGCTTAAATCAATATTTTAATTTTTATAAAATAATCTTTTGACATCTATTTGATATATAAACTGCCATGCGACATACAGTCACGATCAGAAAGAATGACACCCCTATAAACCCGGCCGGCTAGTACGCCTGGTAGATAGAAATACTTTTTGATCGCACTGTATAAAACTACAGTGATCTGTATTAAAGTCATCTGTTATTATTCTGCTCGGCTTTGCCTTGTCCGGAAACAGCAACGATTGGTCCTCCAAAAACTATATTTTAGGTACTTGTAACAAAAATAACTACAGGGTGCGCCAGAACTCGCGCCCCAGAGAAAAATTTTAAGTAAGATAAGATACCAGGAACAAGGATAAAATGTTCAAAAAATTCTATCTGTCAAAAAATTTTGACATTTATTTTTTGACATTTGACATTTTTTTATGTCTACTTAACGATACTGATGATCTTGCATATTTTTTTTACCATTATTTAGTAAAGGTACCAAAATCTTGCCAATAAAAGCGACAAATAACATTGAACAGAGTTACAATTTAAAATAGAGCTTGCTTGTTTCCTCTTATAATCGCCTGTAGCAAAGAAATTTAGAAAATTATTTTTCCATCAGAAATAAATAGAGTCAAGTGCAAAGTTTAAACTCTTATAACTTCGAAATTTTTATAGATAAAATTTTTTTAACATATTTTCTATGTTCCTGGTATCTTACTTTATATTGCATTTTTCTCTGGGGCGCGAGTTCTGGCGCACTCTGTATTTTGATTTGTGACAAGCATTTTTCCCAGAATTCGCAAAAAACACAAAATGGTAAAAAGGCGGCCTAAATAATAAGTAAAATAATCAAAAATGTCGATGACGACTGGATTTCATCATTTATAATAACCCTAAATAATAGTATAAAAAAGTCAGTTGTTTTAATTACAAAAATTCTGTATTAAACTTCTATAACGAAATGTTAATTAGGTAACAATGTTTACGCAAAAATAAAAATTTTTGACAATTTAGTTTTGTGTTGCTTACAAATAACTACATACTTACAGGGTAAATTTGAGTTTTTACAATATTTCATAACTCATTTATTAGCGTTTATTATGAACAACATGGATAAAATAGCTGATTACATACTTCTACTACATTTATTAGGAATTATTCTAACGTGATCTTAAAAATAAAATCGTTGTTAAAAGTTTCCACATTACTAATTACTAGGACTATAATTATGACACCATTTTTACTCAAACCAGTCTATTATTCTCTCATTATGAATTGAGAAACCAGTCGCATTTGTACCTTTTCAAAGGTGAGTATTTTTTTTTCAATAAGCACTCGCATTAAAATATATACTTTATTTCAGTTTTGAAAAAATAAATATGAACCCAATTTTTTTAACCACTTTATTAAGCATATTTTGTATAATTTCGTGTGAAACAATAAATGACAAAATTGACGATTTATGGGGTGAAGATAGAGAAGACGACACACAAATGACCACATTGGCACCACGAATTTCGGACAACTTTACCATCACACAGGAATGTGAATGTGTGCCTTACTATCTTTGTGACCGAAAAAAAGAAACAAATTTTGGTGAAGGATTAATCAATGTCAGGTAAGTACAGGGTGTGACATTTTTTTATCACTAAGACTATTTTTTTAATAGTTGGATAAATATACAGTGTGTCCCATTGTAACAATGGGTTTGTTTTTTAATAAAATATTCTATTTCAAAAATTTAGCTTTAATTTTTGTGTAAATTTGTTTATTAACATTTTCTATTTTTTGTCCATCCACAGAACCGTAAAATCCGAATGTTCCCACTATTTACTAAAATGCTGCGACGATGAAGACCCAAAAGAACCATTTTTCCCAGAAACAGAAATCAAACAGGGTTGCGGTTATAGCAACCCTAATTCTAGAACAAATCCGACAGACGGTTCAGCCGAATTCGGGGAATTCCCTTGGGTCGTTGCCATCTTATCAAACGATTCGTATATCTGCAGTGGTTCTCTTATCCATCCGCAGGTCGTTATGACAGCAGCCCACTGCCTCAAAAACCTAAGACAACCAAAAATACGAGCCGGCGAGTGGGATTCACACGACGACAACGAAAAATTGCCTCATCAAGAAAGAGATGTCGCTTCAATAACAATCCACGCTCAGTACAACCCTACTACATTGGTCAATGATATTGCTCTTCTATTTTTAAAAAGCGCAGTACAGTTGGCGGAGCATATTGATGTGATTTGTCTTCCTCCTGCGTCGACTGTAATCGATAAAGCTCGATGTATTGTAAATGGTTGGAGGAAAGAAACCTTTGGGAGGGAAGGTGTTTTGACAAAAATCGAATTGCCGATGGTTCCGAGCAAAACTTGCGAAGAGGCTTTAAAGAAAACTCGATTAGGAGAAAAAATGTTTAAGTTAGACAAGAGTTTTGTTTGTGCTGGAGGGGTAGCGGGGAAAGATACATGTAAAGGGGATGGAGGGAGTCCTCTAATCTGTCCAACTGATAAAGATACGGAACGGTATTATCAAATTGGGATAGTTTCTTGGGGAGTGGGTTGTGGAACATATAGAGTTCCAGGGGTGTATTCAAATGTACCATTCTTTAGGCAATGGATTGATGACAAACTTAAAAAGAAGAATTTGGACATTAGTGTGTATCAAGTGTAAAATAAAAATAATATCAGGAAATGGAGTTTTATTTGTTTTTAATGTGAAAATCATTATGTTTAAAATTGCTATTTAATGAAAATATAAATACAAACACTCGATCGTGGTACAACTGAATATTATATTATATTATCTCAAGGTAGAGAAGAGATTTTTTATAGCCGAACTGTTTATTTCCAGAGATGCGCAGCATCAAAGAAAATAAGAAATGCGAGTCTATAATAATCATCTCTATCGAGTTTTATATAATATTTTTTTCTAGACGATGAATCGGGAGGGTGACGGTAGCACCGGGCGGGAAGAGCAGCAGTACCACATAACAGGAAAGTATAAGAAATAAAATCTCCGTAGAAAATCATTGGCAACACGAGCCTCTGGTGCTCAAGTGGGTTACTAACACGAAATGGCGCGACATTTAAATAGACCCTCTTCATTTTCAGTTATTGATTATTACTTAGCAAGTTTGATTTCAAATTTTGTTTAAAATGAAAATAAAATATTTTCATTTTAAACAAACTTTGAAATGAAACTTGCAATTATTAAATTGTTTCAAGCTAATAAAACTAATTCTTTTTTATTTTTTTTTTATTGTAAACTATAAATAACAAAATAATAGGTACAACAAATCAAATTTCTCTGAAAATTAAATTATTATTAACAATAAAATCAGTCAGTGTTGGCATGTTTTGTCTGTCTGCCCCAGACGTAAAACAAAATAAAACCTTTTCTGCAAGAGCCTACCTTGTCTGCCAGCAAATAGTTGCCCACGCTACGACCACGAGGAGGTACCCTAATTAACAATAACTATGGTCTTGTTGAACATTCTCGTTGCTTATTATTTAATTTTTTGCAAAAAGAGAAAGTGGATGAGCAACACATCTTGCATTGGATGTTGAAGGCAAATTACAAGTACAAGACAGATGATTTATTGAACTTTCCACAAAACTTCTGTCACAGAAAGATTTGTTTGTGAAATGTCAACAAACTTCTCTTGTGAAGCCAAAACACAGAGCTTAGGAATTACATTTGGATTTAATCTATCCTTCCTCTCATTGACAAAATCGCGGCTTTCAAAATGATCCTCACATAAACGCCAAAACTTTGAACTTACGGAACCCACAATTTTGCAGGCATTCCTCCACAATTCGTGAAGCTTTGGATTTTTAGGGAACGTGAAGAAGTGCTTGTTGGCATGTTCTTCAACGGGMTTCGGCACGTATCGACTAGTGCAGCCAGGATATTTGCAGGAATATCGATGACCAGCCATGACAAAAGTTTACTTGAGTAGCAGGAATCAAAAATCCGTCACTCCAGCCCAAAGCACGATTCCTTTGTAAAAAGAAACAAAAATCAAAAAGGCGAAGTTTTACCGAGTAAAAAAGATACTTATATTTCTTTTAATTGGCTTCCAACAGCACGAATTCCCTCACCGACAGACTACTGTAATTAAAATTTTAGGATTTTGCTTAAGTAATAAAACAAATAATGATTAAATACTTACGGTAACACGTGACATCACACAACATTAAAAGTTTGGCACTTTTGTTCTTTTTCCTCAAACGTAAATCATTTTTATGTCAAAAAAGAAAAATTTATAAAATCCCTAAATATTACGAGCTTGTTTTAAAATACGCAGCGCTTATTGATTGTTCCTTTTCACTTCGCCTTAAGTGGGAAACACCCCTTGCCCATACTCTCGTGTTGCCAATGAGCTTCACCTAAATATCAAACGTGCCGCACATGCGCATTTATAAAAACGTCAAATATTGGTATTTAAAAGTCAAAACTGTTAAAAATCTTGAGTTAACATCTAAAAGTGTCTAAACGACAAAACGAGGAAAAATAAAAAAAAACTTAAAAAAGTTATAGAAAATATTTTATTGTGATTATACCTATAAGTTAAACGTCACTGTAACAAAACAGTTATTTTGTTGTCGGGAAAAACGTCTGTTTTTCTATTTTCCGTTTTTGGCTTTTAGGTAAGTCTGTTTTGTTAATGTGTGAATTAACTTTTAACAGTTTTGTACGTAATCATCTGTACTTGTGTACTGATCAATAATCGAATTGAAAATATTTTTGCACTGTTGTAGCAAATTACTGGAATCTACTATGTTTCTTTTACAGATTTCATCAATTCGTAAATCGAGTTCTTGTTCCAAATTTGTCTCGGAAGAAGAAGGCTCATCAAATTTCTGTTCCAAATTTCCGTTTGAAGTAGAAGGCTCATCGAGAAACTGGCTTTCATCTCCATTTTCAACTTTCTTAGTAATATACATTGCAACTAAATGTATGTGTTTACAAAAGTTATTTTTTACAGAAGCCTCGTAGCATTAACATCTGAAACGATGAATGCAACTGTTGCAGCTTCTGCAACGAAGAGTTCGACAGTTGCAATTTTCATTTACCATATCCACTTCGTAAAAGTCAATTTTAGACTGAGAGTGGACAAGAAATTTTTTTGAGTCCTTTTCTGCAACTGCTTCAAAACTCATCTCCATTGCACGTTTGTGAAATTTATTTACAAGAAGATCGCGATGAGTAGCAGTGGGTCTTAAAACCGAAGCAACTCTTTTCCAAGACTTGTCCAAAATGAGTTTATGCAGAGCATCAAGGCACGTCAATCATCCAATACAAGAATTGTGGTTAATTCAAAATTGTATGGATTGGTCCCATGTGTTCTATCAAGACATATGATCCGGGGTCCATATGTGACAAGCATATACTTCATTTCGCTGTTCATGTAAGCTAATGCAAAATCATCGTCTTCTAGTATGTTGTGTTTGTGTCCAATTTTTTTAAAAATAAAAACATTGTGGTCATTTGCATTCCACTCTGCCACTTTTATTTCAACTGCTATGAAGTCCTCTTTATTTCGTTTGCCAGTGAGATTATTTTTTTCGGCCAAATATTGAATGTCTTTAAGATTTAATAAATTTAGTCTGCTACAGTCATTGCCTTTCATATCTCTAGCTTTTTTAAAATGGTATTATAAGAGACTCCCAGACGAATTTGTACAACAATGTCGTTTTTTTCAGTTTCCGTTAAAGGTTGACAACGGAGTTCTAATTTATGGCCAACGTGAGTGGGGACATACTCAACAAAAACTTTACCGCTATCGCGGTCTAATTCTAGAAGTACAAACCCCAGGAAGTTTAATACTTCCGCTGATTTTTGAAGTACGTACTAAACATCGGGGTTGAAATTTCCCGAGATTGCTTCGATGGCATTCGCAATAAAACACTTTTCCAATAGTACTTTCCATGCTTCTTGTTGCATTAAGCATATAAAATGACTTAGTTTCCTTCTCTACACTTTGTTTCGACGTTCGAAATGTAGTCTCTGTGTCAAAGTCAAGACGTTTATTTTCATATTCAATATTATGGATGTCCGTGTGATGTTTCATTAAAGCAGAAAATGATGAAAAACTTAGTTTAGATGGTGTACATAAAGGGCAAATAATATTCGAAGACCTTTTGCAATTTTCTGAATTGTCTTCATGTTTCATCCTTAAATGTCTATTCCGGCTGGATACACTTTAAAATTCTTTCATACAGTGATCGCATTTGATCGTTGCTTTGTTACTACTTAAGCTAAAAAAAATGTGCAGGTATTTAAATAAAATACTTTTTACAAAAAAATATTTACTCACCTCGACATTGCAATTTACAATAAACTACCGCAGAAACTAGTGATAAGTTTTACCGAGTCTTTAAGCAACAGCACAATAATTAATGATATGAAAACTACAGTGATCAAGAGGCGTCTATGCCAAAGCGAAATTGGAGGGAACCTGGGAAAATAGCCCGGTAAGTTTACCAAACAATATTAATCCTTCCGATGAATCATTCAGATTGGATATAAAACGTGCTTTTTGAGGATGTCTAATTGGTTAATCCTAAATTTAATCATGATTGTTTAAATCTGATGGCAACTCAGTCTCTGTTAATTATTGTTAATAAAAATAAAACAAAAAAAAAACGTCTAGACATGTTACTGCTTCACTGTAGCAGAAAAGAATTCCACTGAGACCATGGAAATTATTATGACAAAATTTATTAAATATGATAATAAGAACCATAGTGATAAGTGTACGGTAACATGAATTTATCACATCTTTATTTTTTAAATTTACCGCTTAATTTAATTTTTTGAAATGTATTTGGAACTGCGCAAGTGCGGCACGTTTGATATTTAGGCAAAGAACTAGAATATATGGAAGGAGAATTGGCGTGGAAGGGGTAAGATTCCATGGCAAGCCACTGCAGATTTTAAGTGGTAGTAAAAGTAGGCAATGTTTTCTCTGTTGTATTAAAAGTTGCCTACCACAAACAATTTTTTTTAAATATACACATAATTTTCTTGTTTTTTATTAATAATTGTAATTGTAATATACTTAACAATATTAATGTTTTACAAATACATTTTTTTTAACAGAATTAATTAATTCAGTGACAACATTGCACATCGTGTGAAAAACTATCTTTTTTTATGAACTCTCGAATTCCTTATTTGTACGAAGCACTATTTTACAGGGTTTTGTATTCTAATGTGATTGTTTTATTTGTTTAATAACGTTTTTTTTTGAAAGTTTAGTTCTAAATTTAATTTCAAACCTTTATTAAAAAAACAACGCTACATTTATATTTTTTAGAGTCAAATATGTCACAAATTTAAACTTTCTATATAAAGAAAAAGAATTCTGTGTAACACTAGATTCCAGTCACAAATTTAGTGCCAAACCGCTCTTTTTTTAGTGCTATTGTGGTGCACAGGTGTATTGTTGATTGCATAATTTACTACGAGTTGCAACTGCCCATACCTTGCCAATATGGCGGCACCAATTCTCCTTCCATCTATTCTTGTTCTTTGTATTTAGGTGAAGCCGTTGCCAATGCGCCTATCTCAGCTTCATACCCGTGAGTAGTGATGCCAGATTAGGGAATTTTTCCCTAATTCTAGGGATTTTTCTAGCAAAAAGGGAAAAAGGGATTTTTTTCAATTTTTCTTAATAATCTAGGGATTTTTTACATTTTCAGTGAAAATCTCAATTTTCTTCACACTGCTGGCACAGCTTCAAAAATTACAAAAATTTTTAATATGAATTTTGTAACTTCGCCAAGTTAGCGCATTTGTATATGAGTTTAGCACTTAGTAACGCGGAAACCAAAAATGTATTTTCCGTAGTTGTGTAAAGACAAAAAAAAGAACAAGATAACTAAAAGCCGTTTGCGTTTTTCGCGCTGCTAAGTTTACTAATTATTGCAGTTCATTTAATGTTTTGGACGAATATTTAAAATTAATGAAATCCCATAATTTATAAGTATATATAAAAATTAAGTATGTTAAATCACCCTTTAGACTATTCGAAATCAAACTAAAGAATTCTCAAAGAAAGGTATTTGTTTCCGATTATTACAACTGTTTCTCTCGTCAGACCACAAATCTCAGAATGACGCCCTCGAGTTCCCGATTAGTCCTTCTTTCGGTTCCCTTGCCCCGTCCATGCCCTCAGCACTTATCCACAAGACCCGAAACCAGATTACGTCATCGAAATCGGTACGCCTTCTAACAAGTAGGTATCTAAATATACACGTTTATTTGAATTTGTTTTAATTGACTTGTATTTTATTTTTTTATTTCTTTAGGAAAATTTATTTTAATTTATTGTTATATTATTTATTGATTTTTTGTTGTTTGGAGTTAACACATTTTTATGTTGTATTTATATTATACTACCTCAACAAAATAGGCCTATGAAATAGTATCTTTTTAATTTTTTAAGTAGTTTAGGGAATTCTAGGGAATTTAGAAGCTACAATCTAGGGACAAGCGCTTAGTCTCATGTGGCATCACGGCCCGTGAGCAGTACCGTCGAGGCATGGAGAGTTCGTGTGTCAGAGGGGCAATGCCGAGTAGAGCATTACAGAAATGGCAAACGAAGAAAACTCGAACATTATAATTTAAATTTAATTTAATGCAAGCAAAAAAACAGTGTACAAAACTCCACATCCTGTTACCAATTAAATAAATAAAATATCACTTAATAAGTGTCAGATAAACAAAATTCTTATCTAGCACATACTGAAAAAATATAAAACAGGAAATAACTGACGGGCTAAATAAAATTATTTTATCAGCAAATTCAATAGATGTTGCAAATGAACATGAAATTAACGACCTTGCCTATGAGAAATACGAATCAGCAAATTTTAATAAATTTAATAATTTAATAATATTGGAAAAGCATTAGGTAATGATAGTCAGCGAAAAAAAAATTAGTCCACCACAAACTATTCATTGAACAGAATTTCGAGAAGGCGTAAAAGATAATGAGGTTAAATCGGGCAAAATTTAGGAAATTACTAAAAATGCAGGAAACATATTCAATTTAAATAATTACGAAACAATTTTTAAAATTTTGGTAGTTTTAAAAAATAAAGTCAAAACAGAAAATATAAATAAATTAGCAATAGAAAAATAACAGTTCAAAATTTTCAGAAATAATTTCAATGTTAGAATTTATCTTTAATGATTTGAAAATTGATGTAACAATTTTTGAAAATACGCAAAAAAATACGGTGGACAAATCACGAATTAACAAAAATCAAATACTGGCCAAAAAATTAAGACCAACGTGAAAATCGAATCTAAACCGTTGCAAAATTATAAAAACTACTAGCTTGCACTCGTGACTTTGTCCACGTAGATTTGTTAATTTCAAGAGGGAATGTGAAGTTAGTTTGTTTATTTATTCTTTTCTTAATAATTCACCAACTCAAATCAACGCGGGAGAAGAGGGCCGATGCTAAAGAAAATGATGAAAGCACGTTACAAACGTTAACACACTATTTCACCTTGTCAAAGTGTCTTCTTAGAGCACTTCTACTCTACACCCTCAAAATCTACATTTTATTTTTATAATTTCGTTTACTCGTAAATGTTTGTACCCTATGTGATACCGTTAAAGGTTGGTTTTTGAAAAGTGCCTGATTAGTGTACTTCTATACTCTCTAAGAAAAATATTTTCCAAATATCTCAAAAGTTTCATGTTTCTATCTTTGTTTAAAAGTTTACACCCCGTTTCACCCTCATAAAAACTTATTTTCGAAAAATCTCCTTTTAGTGTCCTTTTTCAACCGCCAAGGAGCATATCTTTCAAATTATACGTTTTTATCTTTGTTTAAAGTTTGTTTAAAGAAATTAGTTTTTGAAAAATTCTTTCTTAGTGGACCTCCACACCTTCTAAAGAATATGTCTCTCAAATTTTATGTTTTTATCTTCGTTTAAATGTTTACACCCTATTTCACCCCCTTAGAAATAAATTTTTTAAAAATAACTCTCTAAAACACCTATCTTCAAAATTGTATGTTTCTATTTTTGTTTAAACGTTTACACCCCAATTCATCCCCTTAGAGATTGATTTTCAAAAAATTCTTTCTTAGCGGACCTCTACACCCTCTAAAAAACATATCTTCCAAATTTCGTGTTTCAATGTTTCAATGGTTTAGGCTGTGCGTTGTTTGTCAGTCAGTCTCGGAACTCTTTTATATACAGACTGTTCCGGCTAAACCCCACATTAGAAGTATTGGGAGTTCTAACAGTGATATTTATCTAAAATTTTGACTATAGTCATAATCGTTTAGACCCTGTTCAATGAAAATATTTTCAAGATGGCAGCACTTTTGGTTACACCGGAAATGGATATCAACTTTGTTATTTTTAATAGAAAGTAATGTTTTTTTATTGCGTTTTTGGATTACTCTAGTGACTTTGAGAGAGTTTTTATCAGACTTTTCTATACCTAAATTTA